TTGAGGGGAGAAACTTATGAAAAACAAACTTCAGTTTCAATGAATGGGATAACACGATTAAATGGCAGTTGATACTCGTTCATGATCTGGGATACACAGTCGAAACCGGAGAGAGAGAATGAAAGTGTGTGTGTGTGTGTGTGTGTGCATGAGAGAGAGAGAGAACGATGAGAGAAAGTTGTCTATCATTGTGCCCAATTTGCACCTCCGACATAGTATACAAGTTGTGAATGGTTTGTGGATTCATGAGGGAGGTTTCCAATGAAACCTCAATTTGATTTTTGCACACGAAAAGAAAGATAAAAGGCAATATGTTTAAAAGCATTCAATCTATCATCGAGTATTTGTTTTGGTCTGGTGAGTTGCAAATCGGAGGAGGAAGGGGACTATGGGATCTTGGTGTGATCTTCTGGCGATTATTGAAGGTCTGTAATGAGTTCCAACAAGATTGATATTCCATCTCCAACAAAATACTAGGTATTATTATATTTTCTTAATATGTGTAGTACTTTCCATATGACTGGCCATAAAGTGACTTGCACCATAACAAATGAGAGGCCAAGTAAGCACATAGTTAAAAGAACAAAGAGATCCAAGACTAACCGGGTAAATTGTATTGTAATTAAATGATTTTTTGAGCAATTACATAACTAGTGATCTTGTGTAGGAATTTGGAGGTGATGGAACAACAAGCATGAATGTTGTTAATGGAGTGCATGATGATGAAGATGGTAGAGAAACAGTTGTCCCAATGACTAAAGGTGATGATGTGAATGGTGCTGTTTAATTAAGGGATTGTGAATGACACTAATAGGATGAGGATATGTTCTAAACCATACAATATTAACATGTTCCAATATTATAAGAATTAATGGGTAATATGATAATTTGATTTGATACAGGTTAATCAAAGTGGTGTTGTGAGAGGAAGAAGTCCATTGAGAGAATTTTGAAGGCTAAACTTGAAAATACAGTGTGTGGCAAAAAATGGTGAAGACAACTCATCAACAAAACAATAGATTTTTAGATTAGGTTAATGAGTGGTGTAGTTTATGTTGTTGCTGCATGGGGGAACATGTATTTTGTGTTTCAAACCTTTGAGTAAATTCCACGAATCGTCCCTCTGGCAAGTGCCAAAATGCATGTTCAATCCCTATTTTCAAAAATTAACTCGGACCGTCCCTGATATGTTTAAAAGTTGCGCGTTTCGTCCCTTATATCGTTAGCCGTTTGTTTTTCCGTTAAGTTACCCACATGTCAGGGGTATTTCAGCCATTGGGGGGGGGGGGGGGAGAACTGGGCAGCTGCACATGACCTAATTTTTTTATTATATATTATATGTTTATTTTTATTTAATAATAAAAACGTATAATAACAAAGGACCTTTTTTTCTGGCTCGTCCTGAGCCTTTGAGGAATTTAATTCCTCGGTACCGGCCCTGTCTTTTACCTAAAAAAGACAATAAATAAATAAATAATTAAACCCTAACATCATGTTCCCAAGTTTAACTTGACAAGGGAAAAGAAAGGAAATGAGTGGAAGTGGAAAAAGGTGTAAAAAAATTGATGTTCCTTAGTTTCATTAAATGAAGAAAGTGGAGGGAAGTGGAAGAAAATGGAAATATCATTTTCTTTCCTAACTCTCCTTCCGATTTTGAAGGATTTGGAAAGAAAGAACAAAATTTTTTAATTTTCCTCTCACTTCTCTCCAACCCTGAAACATAAAATACAAATTTATTTTCCTTTCTTTTCTCTCCTTACTTCTTTTTTTTTTTTTTTTTTTTTTTTTTAAACTCGGGAACCTAGGTAACTCTATTTACTCTCGTCTCCCACGTTCTCCCGTTAAACGCGATTCCTCGTTCTCCTCCCCCTCTTCTCATGCCGACAATCATCCGACAGCCCCCAGACAACCCTCCGTCGAACCACATCATCATCAAAGAAGAGAAACAAGAAGATGTGTGTGGTTGTGTGTTCCTTGATTTTTTGTTTCATCGTTTTAGGTACACCAAACTAAAGATGAATTTGGGTTTTAGGGAAGATCAAGTTCGAGTTTTTTAAGACAAAGACAATGAAATTTCTAGATTTTATGAAGACAAAATTTGGTTCGAAGACGATTTCTAGGTGTTTTGAAAATGACTTCTGGGTTTTTTTGGTCATCGAATTTACCTTCTGCTCCGATTTTGTTGGTCTAAGCTTCGATTTTATTATGGGGCTTTTTAAGCCAAAATATGGGTCTTTTGAAGAAGGTTTCAGAGTTTTCGAAGACACTTTCTGGGGGGTTTCAAGTCATTGAGTTTACTTCAGCTCCAATTTCATGGGTTTAAGCTTGACAGGGCAGTTGATCGAGTTTAAGTTTGTACCGGGTTCAAATTGCCTCCCATTAGCGGGTTTTAAGCTCTCTTCAATTGTTACTGAAGTCCTTTTCTCGATTCCAGGTTTCCTGATTGAACATCAACTTTCTTCTATCACTAGGTTTTTATATCCATGTTTTTTTTCATTGGGTATTGACCCCTTGTAGTTTGGTACACATGGAATTGGGGGAAGGAATGGAATAGTTGATTTATATCCATGAAATCAACAGTCAATCCATATGCACGTAGAAGCTTTTTGTCAACATGCAAGTTTCATAAATGTAGTAACTCATTAATTAGTCTAAGTCTTTCGTAAACGTGCAGATGTTATAACTGTACCGATGTAGCAGTTTTTATTCAACGACTCTAAAAAACCTTATGCCAGAATCCCTGTCGGATTTAGATGATCTGTCAGCTATACTTTCAAAGATATAGTTTTAATTTTTGTTTTTTTACAAATAAGGTTGTGAGCTTCACCCAATTTAACTAAATTTTGTCACAATTTTTTTTTATACAATTAAACAGATCAATATGAGGACCTGGATATCCTACACTTATTGGTGATCGAGGGTCAGGATCTATTTCAAGAAACAGTAAGTATCTATCAAACCTATTTAAGAAAAACTTTCGGTACCCATTGTTTTTCGTTCGAAGCCGTTTTTTACAAATAATATTAAAAGTTTTAGTATCCCTTGGATTTAATTAAAGTGAATACTAAGCTAATTCCTTTATTAATTACATTGATTGGCCATGTTACAAGTTTCCATAATGCAAATAGTTTATGAGAAGATGGTTTACATCATTGATTTGCTAAAATTATCTCATGATGCTCATGATGTTTTACACAGCTGTCTTGACTTGCAAGGTTCTGAAATTATATGAAAATATTTTCAAAATTAAGGTTGCAGGACAAGTATTTGACGAGACTACAATGTTGTAATAAATTTAAGTAGGATGCTATAATATGTAAATTTATGAAAGTACATTCCTATCTCTTGATTTAGCAAAAAAACATTTTGCTTTGATATACTGACCATTCAAACCCACGTTAATGGTGCGAGTGGCCTTCATCTAGTTAGAAATTGTTTTCCGTATTTGAACATTATAATAAGGGATTAATGCAGAAAAGTCTCATTATTTTGGAAATTTTTTTAATAAAGTCCTATTTTTTTTTTTGAACAGAAAAGTCCCGATTATTTAACATTTTGTCCAAATTAATGAAAAAGTCATTTTTTATATTTGAACAGCAAATGACAGATTATGTGATTTTTCTCAAAATATGAGGACTTTTTTGTTCAAAATTTTTTAGGACTTTTTTGAAATTTTTCCCAAAAGTTTGAGACTTTTCTGTAGATTTCCCATATAATAACAATATATTTTCAATTTTTATCACATAATATTTTAAAAATCAAATAAGCCAACTATACATAACCCAGGTCACATAGCATTCACAATAACTACTTGAATTTTTTTTGAATGCCAAAACATATCAAGAAAGAAAAATACCGCCTAGGAAAATGGCCAAACAAAATTAGTAGAAAGACTAAAAGTAATGAAAAAACACCAAAATATGAAAAAATGAAATGCAAATTTTTTAACTATGAAGAGTGAACAAATATTTTAAAAAAAAGTGTTTTGTCCCACCCTGGAGTTTTGATGTTCGGTCAATTACCACAACATCCATGCCGTATATAAAGACCCTTTTTACCGTCAAAAAGCAATGTAAACCAACAAACAGACATCAAACTCGCAATTTATAAAATACGGACAATTTGCCATTTAAAAAGATCATAAAAAGTGGAAATTAGAGAAGCTAATGAATACATTCATACCTTACTGGAACATGTGAGTCGAGAAGGAACCCTTACTTGTGTCCTATCGAGGCCATATACATAAACTTTATAACATGTATTCACTATTGTAAAACATTGTTTGTATTAAACGCAAAAGTATACCTCATTGGATTTGGATGGAGTTTACCCTATTAATGTTGCCAACATGATCCTCAAACTGAAATCTAATTCCTGAACATGATTATTTCAAAGGAGACTACAAACAATAGTAAACAAACGATAAAATATCAAAGAGGCAAAAGAAAGTCTCGAATCTAAAATGGTAAGACTGCACCCCTGATGTATGTTTGTCTTATTTGAATTAAAAAAATGTAAAAGGGAAATAACAAAAACCATTGAGGTTTTTCATCAATCACGTGAGCTACAACAATCTGCAACAACAACATGAAAATAGCAACATGAATGACCAATTTTTTGTAGGATGTGAATGAGATCTTTGATTAGAAATGATGACTTTTTAACGTTTAAAAGGGGATGACGTTACGTTTAGAGGGTGGTGGTCAGCGGTGGTGTATGGAGCGACAATAGTGATAGGGCAGCATAAAGGGTCATGAAGATGGATCAAAGTATACAAGGGTGATTTCAGTGAGTGAAAGATATGATGATTTAAGGGCATTTTAGTCTTTTCCGAAAATAATAACGGAGGTTAACAAAGGCTTTAAAACCCTTAACAGGGACCATCCATGACAAAATCCTAATACTAGGACCAAGAATAATTATTTGTGCAAACCAGAGGACCAAAACTGCAATTTACTCTTTTAAATATTAACCTCGTGTCATGAATAAACGAGAGAATTCTGAATAGGAGTTTTCTAGAACTTTTTCCCCCTTCTCCAATCTTCTTGTTCTCAGTATCGCAACCTTTTGTTTTGGTATTTACGTTCAATTATCCAATTCCAAACAATTACTGCTGCTTTGATCTTACATGGCTGTAGTGATGATTCGAAGGACGGCCACCTCCGCCACCGTCAGGCTCACCCGATACCCTCTACTCACCGCCATTGATGGCTCTTCGGCTTCGTGCGTCTCTCGCTCTCAGTCTCGCTTGCATTCCTCCATTGCTACTAGACCAGCTGTTTATACGGGCTATATACCTTACTTTCTTCATAGCGGTTCTATCGGACACAACAGGATTTCTTCATCATCGCCTCGTCTTTATTCAACTGCTGCCAATCCTTCCCAGGTAAAAATACGGATCTTATAGCTATGAAAGTTGGTCGAATCAATTATAAAAATCATCTCCTCCCAAATTTTGAAGTTGAAAATAACTAACTTTTTTTGATTGAAAGAAGCAGTTTTATATTAAAGAACATTTTGGAGTCCTGATATTACATTTTGTGTCTGAGAAACGTCAAGTTAAACGGTCAAAACTCAAAAGTATAATTGGGTTTTGGATTATGGCTGCATATAATACGTCTACCATTTTAACTTACAGATACAGCTTCGGACTCATGAATTACTCCTTACTCCTTAGGGTTTTAAACCATATTTGCATAGGGAATTTTCAGGTCTCCCATTTGCTTTGGAATTCAAAATTGTGGCTTTAGATTTTTGAATGAGTATGGCTTTGGGACAATATTGTTAACTGCATTAAAGTTTACAACGGTAATGCTGAATCAAAATAAATTTGGTGGATAAATATTAGGTGTTAATTTTTCAAAAACTGCTTTTGATTCTTAGCATAAGGGGTGATGCTAGTGATAATCGATTATTGTAGTAATGCTATTAGCTTTTATCTGTTTTAACTAAATAAATAGAAAAACTTGATCTTACAACTTACTAGACCAACTTGATCTGTTGTTGCATGAGTTACACATTCTTCTTAATCTTTATATGTTTTGGTGTTGAAACAATGACATTAGTTCAACAATAAGGATTACACCGAGATGGCATGGGAAGGGATTGTTGGTGCTGTAGATGCAGCACGAGGAAGCAAACAACAAATTGTAGAGTCTGAGCATTTAATGAAAGCCCTTTTGGAGCAAAAAGATGGTTTGGCAAGAAGGATACTTACAAAGGCTGGGTTAGACAACACATCAGTTCTACAAGCCGTAGATAATTTTATAGCTCAACAACCAAAGGTATTGATTCAAATTGCGATTGTAAGCTTATGCTTTTTAATAGTTCCTGTAAATAATAATGGTTTTTGCAGGTTACTGACACCAGTAGCCCTGTACTTGGGTCACATTTAAGTTCTCTGTTGGAAAATGCAAGAAAGAATAAAAAAGAAATGGGAGATGAGTTTGTTTCTGTTGAACATCTTGTTTTGGCATTCCCTTCGGATAAGAGGTTTGGAAAGCAATTGTTCAGCAACTTGCAGTTAAGTGAGAAGTCATTAAAGGATGCTGTGCAAGCTGTTCGTGGAAGTCAGAAAGTAACTGATCAAAGTAGAAACATTTCTCTTCTTTGTTTCACATCCTCAAACCTCTGATCATAAATCATAACACATCTTTGTTTGTTTTTTTTTTTAAACAGATCCTGAAGGGAAATACGAGGCACTTGAAAAATATGGGAATGATTTGACTGAACTTGCTAGAAGGGGTAAGCTGGATCCAGTAATAGGCCGGGATGATGAAATCCGGAGGTGCATCCAGATATTGTCTAGAAGAACAAAAAACAACCCGGTTATCATTGGTGAGCCTGGTGTAGGGAAAACTGCTATTGCTGAAGGGTATGTGATTATGCTGCCCTTTTGTGTTTGTCTTTCATCATTCCATCACATCAACTGTCTGTTGTTAAACTTTGAAATTATATGTATCATCATCATCATCCAGGTTAGCTCAAAGAATTGTACGTGGAGATGTTCCAGAGCCTCTCAAGAATCGTAAGGTTAGAATTTATAATGATTTAATAATGCTGGTCAAAGTCAAACCTGTGTTTGATTAATTAATTGTGAATTGTGATGTTTCTACTTTGCAGCTGATATCTCTGGACATGGGTTCCTTGCTTGCTGGTGCTAAGTACAGAGGAGATTTTGAGGAGCGGCTTAAAGCTGTTTTGAAGGAGGTCACTGCTTCAAATGGACAAATTGTTTTATTCATTGATGAGATCCACACTGTAGTTGGTGCAGGTATGTCCCATATTAGGAACAAAAATAGTCAATCTTGATGTTTTGTATGTGTGTTCAAAAGACGTGAATGCCCTTATCATTAAAATGTGATCTTGCAGGAGCTGCTGGTGGAGCAATGGATGCTGGGAATTTATTGAAACCAATGCTTGGGCGAGGTGAGCTTCGATGTATTGGAGCCACAACATTAAATGAATACCGAAAGTACATTGAAAAGGACCCTGCTTTGGAACGAAGATTCCAACAAGTATTCTGTGATCAACCATCTGTTGAAGACACAATTTCCATTCTTCGTGGGCTCCGCGAGCGATATGAACTTCATCACGGGGTCAAAATATCCGATGGTGCTTTAGTTTCAGCAGCTGTTCTTGCTGATCGATACATCACAGAACGCTTTTTGCCCGACAAAGGTTTCAACTTTGAACACCATTTTAGTTTTTAATATTAATTAATATCTTTCATGTATTGACATTCGTTTATTACTACTGCAGCAATTGATCTGGTTGATGAATCTGCTGCAAAATTAAAAATGGAGATTACATCTAAACCGACCGAGTTAGACGAGATAGATCGAGCTGTCTTGAAGCTCGAGATGGAGAGACTCTCTTTAAAAAACGACACGGATAAAGCATCAAAAGAAAGGTTGTCCAAATTAGATTCTGATTTGGAAACTTTAAAACAGAAACAGAAAGAGTTTAATGAACAATGGGAACGCGAAAAGTTACTGATAACCCGCATACGCTCAATCAAGGAAGAGGTAACTAACTACTAACTACTAACTAGCATGTTATAGGTTCTTTTGATATCATTTCTTTACAAATTTTATTCAAAAGATTGATAGGGTGAACCAAGAAATGGAAGCTGCTGAGCGTGATTATGATCTAAACCGTGCTGCGGAACTCAAATACGGGACATTGATGACACTTCAGCGCCAGCTAAGCGAAGCGGAGAAGAATCTTTCCGACTACCAGCACTCGGGGAAATCATTACTCCGTGAAGAAGTAACCGATATCGACATTGCTGAAATTGTAAGCAAATGGACGGGAATACCCTTATCAAATCTTCAACAATCCGAGAGAGACAAACTCGTATCCTTAGAACACGTTCTCCACAAACGAGTTGTCGGGCAGGACATGGCGGTGAAATCGGTTGCAGACGCGATACGTCGGTCGCGTGCAGGACTCTCGGATCCAAACAAACCGATAGCAAGCTTCATGTTCATGGGCCCCACCGGTGTCGGGAAAACCGAACTTGCGAAAGCTCTTGCTAGTTATCTTTTTAATACCGAAAACGCCCTTGTGAGAATTGATATGTCTGAGTACATGGAGAAACACGCGGTGTCACGGTTGGTGGGTGCACCGCCGGGGTACGTGGGTTATGAAGAAGGCGGTCAGCTTACGGAAACGGTCCGTAGAAGGCCGTATTCGGTGGTTCTTTTTGATGAGATTGAGAAAGCGCACCATGATGTGTTTAATATCTTGTTACAGTTGTTGGATGATGGAAGAATAACGGATTCTCAAGGGCGTACTGTTAGTTTTACAAATGCGGTTGTTATAATGACATCTAACATCGGGTCCCACTATATACTGGAAACGCTTCAAACTACACATGATAGTAAGGATGCGGTTTATGAATTAATGAAACGACAAGTGGTTGAGTTGGCTAGGCAGACTTTTCGCCCTGAGTTTATGAATCGGATTGATGAGTATATTGTTTTCCAACCACTTGATGCCACACAAATCAGACATATAGTCCAGATCCAGGTACAACCTTTTTCTCCATACTCATATTTTAGACTAAATTACAATTTTGTTCCCTTGGTATAGATGATTTTTTGCAATTTTGGTTCCCTGTTACAAGTAAAATTACATTTTTGGTCCCGGAGTGTAGCTGATTTTTGCAATTTTGGTTCTTATTTGAGGTTCTAGTAAAGTTTTTGGTCCATGTTTCAAGTAAAATGACATTGTTGGTCCTTGAGTGTAGCCCATTTTTTCAGATTTGGCCCCAAAAAGTTTCTCTTGCAAATTTAGTTCTCATTTGAGGGTCTTGAAACATTATTGGTCCCTGTTTCAAGTAAAATGACATTTTTGGTCCCCGAGTGTAGCTGATTTTTTCAGATTTTGCTCCTAAAAAGTTTCTCTTGCAATTTTAGCCTTCATTTGTGGTTCTTGAAACATCATTGGTCCCTGTTTCAAGTTAAATGATGATTTTTGGTCTCTAAATATAGCTGATTTTTGCAATTTTGGTCCCAAAAACTTTTCTCTTGCAATTTTGGTTATGAGGTTCTTGTAATGTTATTGGTCATTTGTTTAAAATAAAATTATTATTTTTGGTCCTTGAGTATAGCTACTTTTTTCAAATTTGGTCCAGAAAATAGTCCTCTTTCTTGGAATGTGGACCAAAAAACGTTACAGAAAACTTTTTGGGACCAAAATTGCAAAAATTGGCTATACTTTCTAGGGACGAAAAATGTGATTTACTCGGGTAATATTATGAGCAACTGATTTATAAATGGTGGTGGCTAATTTGGTTGTTATTGTATTGCAGTTGAATCGGGTGAAAGATAGGTTGAAACAGAAGAAAATCGATCTTCATTACACAGAGGAAGCTACAGATATTCTTGGGAAACTTGGGTTTGATCCTAACTTTGGAGCACGACCAGTGAAGAGAGTGATACAACAAATGGTGGAGAATGAAATCTCGATGGGGATATTGAGAGGGGATTTTAATGAAGATGATACTATAATTCTAGAAGCATCCACATCGGGTAAAGATGGTTTGCGTATTAGGAAACTGGAGAGCCAATCAGGAGTCGATGAAATGGTTGCCAGTAACTAATATGCCACGTGATAGAAACCAAGAAAATGTAGCATTAGAAAAAGGGGTTAATACAAGAAAGCTCTTAACTTTTTTATCTAGAAGTGTATTTTTTTTTCTTCTAATTAAACCCTCAACTCTAAGGGGCTGCTTGTTGATTTGGCGTTTTTAGCGAGAAAGTCCTAATATTTTCGGAAAAGTTTCATTTTAGTCCCACAAAAAAATTTGACCGGAAAACTCCCGATTATTTGATTTTACACGATAATATATATTTCCTCTTAAAAGAAAAAAATGATTATTTTTTTGTTAATTTGAGTCAAAATAAAATAATCGGGACTTTTATGTTGAAAAAGAAAAAAAAAAGTTAGGACTAAAGTTAAACTTTTTTGAAAATATTAAGCTTTTCCGACAATTTTCCTTTTTTAGTCTGTATGTAATTGAGTCTTGAGAGAATAAAAGAGATAAGAAGATGGAAAGAGTTTTTCATTCATGTTATCCATCAACTATGAGCTTCGTACATGTTTATATACAAGGAGAATCAACAATGGAAAGTAACCGAATTAACTAAACTCATGATCATTTTCTTCATTGATGGCATTAAATTCCAATCCAAGAAAATAAGTAATGTTTCCGAAGTCTTTGATTTGAATTGTGAATTCCAATCCAAGAAAATAAGTAATGTTTCCGAAGTCTTTGATTTGAATTGTGTTTAAGACCTGAGATTTCTTCTATGTTATTGCATATGACTAAGGTGTTGTTTGTTTTTTGTAAAAAACCTCTTCGGATATCTTATTGCTGCGCGGCGCAGCGTACACGCAATATTTTTCATCTCGCAGCTGTTTGTTTTTTTAGAAATCTTCGGATTAAAAAACATTTGCGCCTGTTCTGTTTGGGGCAACATTTGTATTGTCTGTTCCAACCTTTTTTTTTCTTGCTGAAATCTATTTGAATATTGATTATATGTTTGTTGAAATCTTGCTAAATTCTTGTTTTATCTTTTTTTTTCGTTTTTTTTTTTTGTTTATTCTTGCTGATTTTTTTTTTTTTCGTTTTTTTATATTGAATAATGATAATTTCTTGCTGAAATATCATTATTTTTTTGCTGAAATATCATTATTTTTTGCTGAAATATCATAAAATCTTGCTAAATGTTGTATATTATTAAATTTTCGGTATTAAAAAACTATTTTCGGTAATATAAAATCAGTTTATTTAAATTTTTTAATATCTACAGCATCATGCAGATGTTAAAAAACAAACATGCTTCTTATTACAGTCTGCAGTCGTTTGTCCATCTCTTCTGCTGTAGAGAGTTGCAGAGGTACCAGAGCCTTTGAGGGACTCCATGGCATAAAGGTGTCAACTTTATGGCCATGGGAGTCTCATGCATCCTAAAAACCACTTTTTAGGGCTTTTTGAGCTAAATAGCCCATGCATGAACGTAAAGTTTGTAACTTTACGTGTTATATCAACCCTAGGAGGCCATATCTATGTTTGGATGCATTAAGCCAGAATAAAATTGATTGTATAGTTTTGGGATCATAGGGGACTCGACGAGTTGTTCTTAGGACTCGGCGAGTCGGGTCTTGGTTCCCCAACCTTCTCTGTTATGTAGCAAACTTGTTGAGTCTTGAAGATAACTCAGCCAGTTAGGTGTTTTGGACTTAAAGGTAAATAACTCGACGAGTCCAAGGATGAACTCGCCGAGTCAGTGAGCAAATGTCTCAACTGTATGAAGGAGAACTCGACGAGTCCAAGGAAGGACTCGACGAGTTCAAATAGAAAGTCCCGATTCTGTCATAAGGAGAAACTCGACGAGTTAGAGGGTAACTCGACGAGTCAGATCGCGAATTCGAAATTCTCTAAATTATGGAACTCGACGAGTTGATGGACCAACTCGGCGAGTTGAGTCAACAAGGATGTTGACTTTGACCAAGGTGTTGACTTTGACTTTGACTTTGACCATTACCCAAGATTGACCCTTAAAGGGGATATGAATAGAAAGGAATAACTAAAGGAAATTGTTATGTGTAGGAGTTTGAGGAGAGTTGATCCCAGCACCGAGGACAATTCAGTTACTGCACGACATCGAGGTGAGTTACCTTCCAGTAGAAGTGGGTCTAAGGCCACAATGTCGGCCCACTAGTTGGAGTTGTTTGTTAGATAATTGTCTTTGTGATAATTATCTAGGTTTGCCACTATTTGATATGTTTTATAGGCTAGCATGATATGATGTTATGTGATAGGGGTAGTAGGGGGAATAGTCCCCATGTTACGGTTATAAGGACCGAAGGGGTAGGTCGGGCACCCCGGTATGCTTGACAGTATGATTATGTTATGTTATTATGTGGTAGTAGTAGGGGGTGAAATAGTCCCCGTAACCGGTTAAGATAAACCAGAGGGGTAGGTCGGGCGCCCCGGTATGTCTGACAGGGGGTAGGTTAGGCACCCTGGTATGCCTAGCAGGGTAGGTCGGGCACCCATATATGCCTGACAGTATGTTATAGAATGGTATGTGGTATGATAGGGGAACTCACTAAGCTTTGTGCTTACAGTTTACAGTTTTGGTTTCAGGTACTTCCTTTTCGAACGGAAAGGAGCCGGCTCGGTAGCAACGCATCACACCATTATTTTCCGCACCCTAATGTTCTTGGGATTGTACTCTGACATTATTATTCCATGACATGTTTTTTGACATTTGATTTATGGGTTTATGAGTTTGATATGATATTGATGATGTTTTCAATAAACTGTTTTATAAATTGCTTAATTAAAAACAAAATTTTTGGTCTTGAAAATTGGGATGTTACACTAATGTAGCTTGGGCTCTTTATGTGATTTGAGTTGTGTCGGCCACCTAGTGACCCGTGTACTTGATATGCATCTTATATAAGGGTTACAGTCACAACAGCCGTTGTGTGAGAGTACAATTTTCATTGTAGGTTGGGCTCCCTTATGGGCACTAATACCTTATTTACGTGTAATGTTCTTATCATTAGGACAAACATCAACACATATCGATACAAATTACCATTTTCATATTGTCCTTTTGAAGGTTTACAACTTTGTTTCAATATTTACTAATGGACTACATAGGCAAGCATAAATCATATGAATTTTCTCAAGCTTGATTTTTTAACTTTTTTGGATCCTTTTTATCCTGAGGATTCTTTTCCTTCTTCACCTTTTCACCCTTACCACCAACCTTGTTGCGGTTTTTCGTTTTCTTCTAATCTTTAGCCTTTTTCATGTCTTTTTCTTGGCCCCCATTCTCACCGCCCTCATGTTTCTCTTTCTTTTATGTTTTTTTTTCGGTTGTCTTGCCATTTTCCCTTCTCTCCCATTCTTTGATTCTATACGACAATTTTTTATGTATATTTTTCCTTTTCTGCTATTTTCATTTTCTAAACATGCTAAAATCTAAAAAGAAGAAAACTAATACTATGAAAAATGAATTGCTTGGCATGGGAATCTTTGTGATTTTATTGAGCATGTTCAACCTTTTAAAGTCAAATGTCTTGATTAATTTTGATGTTGATAGAAAGTCAACCATAAAGTTGTGGCCTTGGAAATGTATATGCCTCACAAATGTTGCATTACCATTAAAAGTGTTGGATTAGTGTCTAAGTCCATAACTATTTTGGTACGTACTTGACCCGATTATGAGCATGGTCCTTTTGGGTTGCCTTCACTATAGCAATATGTAGGATGAATTAAGGAGAGAAATGTTTAATTATGATTTATTAATATATTATGAGAATAATATATTAAAGGAGAAATCATATTGTTTAATTAATATTAGTCAAGAATTAATAAAGAATTAATTATGTGGCTAAAAGAGATTAATTAAACTTAGGGGACTGGAATTGTAATTATAGGATAATTGCAATTGGGCTATGGATCACCTTGGAATAATAGGTTGGACGAATTCTATGGGGAAGCCCATTAGAAATCGTCCAAGGCATGTTCCAGAAGGGGTCCATGGGCTGCTTGGGGCTTAAGCAGTCAAATTATGGTTTCCTTGTTGGATAACCCTAATAGCCTAAGTATATAAGGAACCCTTGGGCACCAAAAACGTGGCTAACACTTGGATTAGGGTTTCCAGCCGTTTTTGTGCCTCCCCTCTCTTCTCTCCTTCATCCAATTGCTTAGTGGTGTTTGTGACTCCATTAAAGGTGCAACACTTGAGGCACTAAGCTTTCTGAAGCCAATCAAAGCAAGGAATTGATTGTTATTACTATATAACAATCAAAGGTAATTACTAACCCTTATTTCAGTTCTTATATGATAGATCTAGGGTTTATAGCTTTGGATATTCAATTGCATGTTCATTAGACAAACTAGATCCAAAGCTATTAGGGTTTGCATGTACACCATAGGAATGATGTATTGCTTGAAACCTATCAGTGGTATCAGAGCCTAGGGTTGTTTGTTAGTGAATTTGATGCTTATTTAATTGAATTTTTTTGAGGTTTTTGACTTGACTCGCCGAGTCAACTGGGTGACTCACCGAGTCCATAGTGAACTCGACGAGTCCAAGCCTGACTCGACAAGTCAGAGAGTCAGATGGAGGATTTTTTCGGGTTTCTTGCCTATTTTTGCTGTGGGATAATTACCAAAACGTTTTTTATTGATAGAAATCGGATTTTTATGATATTGGGTGATTATCTTTGCCAAAATAAAAGATAATTTCATATTAATTAAATAATTACTTCCTTATATGATTAAATTTAATTATTTGAATTATTTGGTGTATTATCTTGCAAGAAATTAGACTAGGTCAAAACTATATAATTGCCTTATTTGAATTGTTGATCTAGAATGTTCTTGACAAAGTTTGAATAGTTTCAAATTACTCCCTTTAAGTTTTATAGTTTAAATTTGAACTTAAAAGTTTTGTTTTTGAAATTTAAATAGTTAAACCCTAATGTTTTGAAATGTTTCAAAACTTGCCCTCAAGTTTTGGAATTTAAAAGTTGATTAAAAGTTTAATATTGAAATGCTAAATTCTAAAAACCCTAGTATTTTTTGAAAAAAGGTTCAAATTACACCCTTATGGTTTTATTAATTAATTAAAGTGTATAATTAAAAGAGAGTTAATAATTCCATAAAGTTTTGGTTTACATTTAACTAAATTAAAAGTATAATTTATTAAATTAGACCACCTAGTATTTTAAAAGTGTAAAATACACCCTATACTATATATAACATTAAAAGTCTAATATTATATATGTATAAGTAAACAGTCAGTCTTACCGTTAGT